TTTATTTAGGTGCTATGATAGAGCACATACTTAGCATGTGCATAGCTCTGGGCTAAATCCCAGCACCACACACACACACACACACACACACACACTCATATATAATATAAATATACCACAATGGAAGCTTAACATATATAGATGTAATATTATTTATAATAAGAATAGAACAGAGGATGATCAGTGGGGACATGTGGAACTATGCTAAATTAAAGATGCATATGATAATTCCTACAGAAATATCTAGGGTAAAACTAAGCAAAAAAGTAGGCTAAAAAATTAATAGAGGAATTAAAACTGAATATTAAAAAATATTTGGTAAGACGGAAGAAGGCAGAAAAGGAGGAAAACAGGAACAAGAATACATAAGACCACTAGGCAACCGAAAACCAAATAGCTATTCTGAATCCAACTATTTTAATACTTACTTTGTATGTAGTTGGACTAAACATGCCACTTAAAAGGTAGATGTAGGGGCTGGGGACATAGCTCAGTTGGTAGTGTGCTTATCTCGAATACACAAGGCCCTGAGTTCAATCCCCAGCAACACACACACACACACACACACACACACACAATGCATTAAAAGGCAGATGTGAAAAAAATGTATTTAAAGAAAGGCATAACTGTATGTTCCTATAAAAACCATACTATAACTATAAAGAAAGAATAGAAAAAGATGCACCATGCAAACATTAAGTGTAGGAAAGATGAAATAATTACTACATTAATATTAGACAAAATAGACTTGAAGAATATTACTAAAGAGAAGGAGGGGAGAACAGATATTTCACAATTTCAAAAGAGCTAGTAGGTCTGGAAGATATGAAAATTATGAATATGTATGTGTTTAATATCAAAGTTTTACAATGTATGATGTGAGAAATGACATACATCATGTCCACAAGCAATTTATCCCAGCAATGTACAGTTGCTTTAACATTTGAAAATAAATCCTTGTAATCCACTGTCATAAAAGGGAATCACATGGAGAGAAGCCACATGATAATCTCAATGTATTTGTACTCACCACGAGGAGTATCTGAAAAATTCAGTACTTATTTGTGAGAAAAAACTCACAGAAAAGTAGAAATCAAAGGGATATTCCTCCATTTGATAAAAGGCATCTATGAAAAAGTTTGCTCACATGATCATTAAAGGTGAACCATGAACTCTTTCCCCTAATATTGAGAAAAGACAAGAATGCCTGCTGTCACTTCTATAAAACACTGGGGGGTCCCAGCCATTCCACTGAGACAAGGGGAAAAAGGGATARAGATAGAAACGAAATATATTCTTATTCTTAGTTATATATGATAAACTTCATTGTCTACAGGCTAAAAATAAACATGAAATGTCCAAGACTTTTACTCTCTTAACTACTACATTGTTAAGAGAAATTAAAGATGACTAAAATAAATGAAGACTTATAACACTCAGAAATGGAAAGACTCAATAGTTTTAAGATGATAGTTCTCCTCAAATTGGTYCATGTATCTGTATGATCCTATTCACAAGCCCAGCAGAATTTGAAACAGCATTCTGAAATTTATATGGAAATGAGCAGAACCTAAAATAACCAAAAGAATATTGAAAAATATTTACATTACCTGATCTTAAGTCTTACTAATAAGTTATCGTAATAAAATTCTGTGGGATTGGTGTAATGACTTACCTATTTTTTTTTAWCTTTTCCAAGAGCCAATCTTACCACTCCATTACTAATTAACTATGGACTTTTAAAGGCTTTTAACAGAGTCTGCTACATGCTAGTGTCATTTGTGCATCTGTATTATTCCTTTTCTAGACTGTGAGCTTCTCCTTGTATGTCAGCACTCAGTGTCATCTAAGTGCTTACAAAAGTCTTCAGGGTCTGCACCATGTCATTTGATGAAACAATGACCTCAATACATCTTAGGCAACTGCAATCTCMATCCTCAAGTTCACTGATGAAACACAAAAGCCACAAAACTCCCTTCTCCCAAATAACCTACCCAAGGCRGAGGGCTGGTTGGTTTTTGGTGACACCCACTTTGGGGAGGACTCAGGATGGGGGGCGACATGTTGTACTGGGCGAGTCTGTTTGGCTGCCAATTTCATCAGACTCACTTGCCTCTTGTGAAATATTTCCTGCACATCACTCAGCTTCTGCAGAACTTTCTGGGCTTTGGCCTAGAGGAACAAAAGCAAACCATAAGTAGGTCTCTCTGTACCTGGTCTGAGAACATGAAGCATTTTCTTTCTTCCTTTCYTTCCTTTTTCCCTTCCTTCCTTCCTCCCTCAGGTGCCTCTCCTTTGGGTATCCTTATAGAAGTCATTGTGTGTCTTGCTGAGCTCTAGAATTGTGCTTCTAAAGAGTCTGTGTCTCCCACTTGAGATCTTTGAAACTTTTGGGTCCTCTTCACTACTGTCTCTCCAGGGCTCAGAACTCTTCCGGGCATAGGAGAGTGCTCAGTAAACATATGTTGAGTGGATAAGTCATGTCCATTAATGATAGAAAAGGATGTCACAAGGCCACAGATAAAGGACATTAGGTCAATGCACAAAACAGGAGGATATTGAAATTGGAAAGATATCCTGAATAAAGATCCTGATGGAGAAAGAAGATAGTGCTCCTAGGGGAAACAGTGGCTACATTCTGAGGCAGGATCAAGGAAATCACGAAGCACCTGTAATAAAAAGGATACACATTTAGTTTTTGTTCTGCATGACCCCTTCTCTCTAAGTAGGAAAACAATACACGGAAGAAACACCAGGAGAAAGWGCTCACAGACATTCCCCGACTATAYGCTCTATAACAAAGGCTGGGGAAAATAAGGAACAAGCCTCAAGTTCCGCCAAGGTCTGCCTGCATACAAAATGTTCCTCCAGCCTCGCCTCCAGTAGGATGTCCCTCTAGCTCTGGTGGGTTTGGGGAAGTGGGGTCACACCTACTCTGACTTCYACGTCCTGTATGATCTGAACCACTAAAGGAAGGACTCTGAACGAGAGAGCTGAACCACCACAAATCACACAAGTGGCTCTAAGGATGACTCATTCTGAAAGTGTAGGCTCAGCATAGCCCCTGGGAGGTTGATGCAGTTTATAACTGGAAAGYACATTCATTTTCTGAGAGAGCAAAGAGCCCTGAGGCAGGACTTGGAGCAATCAGGTTTCCATGGCCCAGGAGAACTGGCTGCACAAATGTTTCCTGCAGCTGAAGACCCTATCAATGCTGCCCTYAGGACCAAGATATGGGGCTGGTCTCACTCTTTGGAGGGTCTCAGAGTTCAGAGTTGTGCTCTTTAACACAGTAATCACTAGTCAGTGGCTGTTGAGCACCTGAAATGCAGCCAGTTGGATTTGAGATATAGTACTATAAGTGTGAAATACACACTGTATTTTGAAGACTCAGTTTGAAAAAAGAATGTAGGGCTGCTGGAACACTTGCCTGGTATGTACAAGTCCCTGGGTTTAGTTTGCAGCATCACAAAAATAAAATAAGAAAAATTAATCATTTTTAATACTGATTGTACATTGAAGCAATATTTTGGATACTGGTTAAATAAAACATGATTCAAATTGATTTCGCCCATTACTTTTTGCTTTTGCAAATATGGATATTAGAAAAATATAAAATTACATTTGTAGTTTGCATTACATTTCTATTGCGAAGCATGGTCTAGATCAAGGCTCATTAAACTTATTCTGTAAGGGACCAAATATTAAATATCATAGGCTTTGCAYACCATGGTGTCTCTGTTGCAATTACTGAGCTCTGCTGTTATAGTATAAAAGCAGCCATAATAATATGTAAGTGAGCAGATTGACTGTGTTCCAATGAAACTTTAATTACGAAAACAGGTGGCAAGCTTTGGCGCACAAGGCTGCAGTTTGCTAACACCTAGTCTAGACTAAGCTCAGGGTCTTGTGTTCAAAGGGTCTCTTTGGAGAATATACTCTCTGGTGTCCTAAAGCTCACTTGTACAATAGACTAGAAGTTATAATAATATAACTAAGTCTAACTCTCCTCCCAAACCAAATTTCAGGGATGGTAATAAAACTTGGTGATCAGCAACTACCATCCTGCCATTTATGATCTTGAAGAAATTGAGACATGGGTGTAACTRCTACACAAAGATCAGGAAATCAGACTGACTGAACAATTGTCAAATGAGTGATGTAGGTGGATATAAGGCATGAGGTCACCCCCACAAGCCAGAGCGCAATGACTCAACACTTGGATTRGACCCGACTTGGGTCACCTTTGTTCTCTTGCATTTCTTCCTTAACCTTCCAGTGAGAGGCTGGGGATGTAGCTTAGTGGTACAGCATTTRCCCAGCATGTATGAAGCCCAGCACCAGAGTATGTGTGTGTTGGGGGGAACCTTTGAAAACAGCTCATCATCAAGACCTCAGTGTGAACTCTGGAAATGGTTTAACTGTCAGAATATTCAGGTAAGAGGGAAGTTTATCCATCTGTACTCTCCCCTGTCCTTTTTCCTCTTTTYACTTGCAAATCCATCCCCATACTACAATTGAAATTATCTTTCTAAACTGTGTATTTGATGTCAAATTCCCCATTTTCTTATTTTTTAAAAGTAAAAACTATTTAATTTCAATTTGCATATTTACAACAATAAATAGAATARTAAACTAAGACTTTAGAGAAAATAGATCATCACTGCGAGTGTAACATCCATGTGTTGATTTTTTTTTTTTCAGAACAAAGATCTTTTAAAAATGCCACCGTTTAAGGCTGGGGTTGTAGCTCAGTGGTAGGACACTTGCCTAGCAAGGGTGAGACACTGAGTTTGATTCYCAACACTACATATAAATGAATAAAATAAAGGTCCATTGACAACTAAAAAAAAAAAATTTAAATGCCACTGTTTAGACTGTACTGTTTCTGTTTTGTATCCAGAGTTTGTCTGTGCAACAACAAATGAAAACTCCCTGTGTAATAAACCTGAATTTAAGACCTAAATATTAATTCCAATATTCCCAACTAACATGTTTATCACACGAAATAAATATTTTTTACACAGTTCAATTCAGCAATTTTACATATGAAAAGTGATACCTACTTAATATTATTGTATAGTCTCAAAAAGTTAATTCAGGAAAATTAAAAATGATTTACAAAAGGCACTGAGGTTGGCGAGAGCAGCAGCAATTTTCATTTTGGATCAAACACTGGACATGTCCACAGAACTGCTGTGTGGGAGTCACTGTCCTGACACCAACCTGTTGCAAGGCCATCTTGTCTCAGGCACCCTGGCGGCTGGTGGTGTTTCCTACTCCCACGTGCTATGTTGGACAGGCCCTCCCCAGACTGGTGCCAAGGGAAATGGCTAAAGTCAACACCACATTACTTCCCTATTCAAAAACGTTTCATGGGCTCCACTGTGCATCAGGAGAAAGTCCTGACTCCTTGTCCTGGAGCAGGAGGCTCATCATGACTCCACCTGATTTCCCTCCAGCCTCACCTCCTGCCAGGACCACTCACCCYTGACCCATCTCCACATTCCCCAGATGCGGAAGCTCCCCCAGTGCACCTCTGTTCCTTTTGCTGAGGTTCCTGCCTCTTTGTTTCCCTGAAAAATTCCTACTAAATCTTTAAGCCTTGATTTAGGCATCTTCTCCTCTGTGGAATACCCTGGCCTCCCCAGGTCGAAGTGACATTGCCTCCCCTGGGTGCCCCCCTGTCTCCTTCATCTTACATACTTTCAGACTGAGTAGCATGGATTGGGAAGACATTTGTCCCCCACTAAACAGTTAGCACTTTATCACAAGGGTCACGACTTCCATTGTTATCTTCCCAGAAGACAGCTCAGTTTACTTGGCCCAAACCAGGCACCCAGTGAATATTAAAGGATCAAAATTTGCTGTTTGCAACTGAGATTGTTTTCCGTCTGTGGATTAGGTGGTGAAAGTGAATGAGGTGGCAAAATCCAAGCAGCAGTACTAAGAGGGAGGACAGTGGTACTTAAAGAGAAAGCACTGTAAGAGCCTCCCGCAGTGATATGGCTGCTACTAAAAGAACAACAGCTTAATTTCTGAGGGGGTTAACAGTCACCATGTCTTCAGTGTAACAGATTCAACTTTAGTCATAGAATGCCATTTAAAAAAAAATAAAATTCTTTTATTTATTTTGTTTTTGAGACTGGGGCCTCCCTATGTTGCCTCCTGGGCTCAGGTGATCCTCCAGTGATCCTCCTGCTTCAGTCTCATGAGTCGCTGGGACCACAGGTGTGCACCACTSTCTGGTTATTTTTTCTTTTTTTAAAGGAGATCTATGGCAAAAGTGCAAAGCAGTACAGAGAATTCCCATATATCCCACATCAGTTTTCCTTTTATTAATATCTTACCTTGTATATGCTATATTTTTTGTAATTAATGAACCAATTTTAACATATTACCATTCAATAAAGTTGATGCTTTATTTTTATTTCTTAGTGTAAACATTTATATAAAAACACAATTTATTTTTCATATTGTCTTAGGCTCCTTTTGACTATCACAATTTCTCAGATTTTCCTTGTTTTCAATGACCTTTACTATTTTTAGGGCTGTTGGTTACGTTTTGTAGAATGTTCCTCAACTGGAATTACCTAGTATTTTTCTCATGATTAGACTGGGGTTATGGGATTTGGAGAAGAAAACCACAGAGGTAAATTGCCATTTCCATCACATCATGTCAAGAAACATACTATCCATATGRCTTGTCACTGATGTGTTGACTTTGATCGCCTGGGTAAGGTAGTAATTGTTAGGCTTCTCCACTCTTAATAGAATTACTTTATTAATTTCACCTTTCTATACTCCTTGGAAATAAGTTACTATGTGCAGCCTTTACTTAAGGAGTAGAGGAGTTATATTTCCTCCTTATCATAGTTAGCTTTCTATCACTGTGACGAAAAACTTGAAAAACTTGAGAAAGTCTACGTGGAGTAATAATRATTAATTTTGACTCATGGTTTCGGGAGTTTCAGTGCATAGCCATGTGGCCCCATGGCTTGTGATGACGCAGAACATCATGGCTGGGAGCACGTGGAAAAGCAGAGCTATTCACCTCATGGTGACTGGAAAGCAGGATGGGGCCAGGGACAAGATATATCACCCCCAGTGACCCACTTCCTCCAACAGTTTTCACCTCCCAACAGTTTCTACCACCTCCTAACAGTCCATTC